TACAAAACTGGTGCCAATAGGGAGAGTAGGAGATAAATCAAGTTACCATCTGCATTTTGTAGCTTGCTAGTGTATGTGGACTGGGACTCAAAAGATGAAATAATTTATTGACCATTTAAAATTAGTCTTTCTCCCTACATTGAATGCTGTTAGTTTATCTCCAATCAAAATCCTCTTCCAAAACACAGTTATGACCCCACTTATGGGCCCTTCCTTGTGGCGCAATGGGTTGGGATGCAGCACTGCAAGCTGACTGCAGCTTCAGTGCGAGTTCGATCCCCAGGCCCAGAGGTGACCCACATGGCACAGTAGAACTCTCCTGACCCGCCCACTGCTCTCCTCAGCAGTGCACTTCATCGATCTGCCTGTTATACTCCCCCGTTGGTTTCTGGTGAATCCTCTCACTGCCTCTGGACCTCTGGCCTGTACCCCAGTTCTATGTGCATAAATAATTAAATCTTAAAAAAAAAAAAAGCGGCCCACTTCTCCCTTTGGTGGGCCGGACGATGAACCCAAGCCCAGCTGCTTTGCTCTTGTGTTTAGAAGATCATCTGTGTTCTGATGGTGACTTTTCTACCTTTGCCTAGAAACCTGGGAAGACCGTGGCTGCCATCATCCAGGATATCCATTCCCAGAGGGAGAGGGACATGTTCCGGGAAGCAGACAGGTGAGGCCCAGCCCTCTGTCTCGGCAGATTCTGGGCAGGAGGGACGCTGTTTCTCATTCTTAGCGGTATGGAGTCATGCTGTGCTCTGCTCTAGCCCAGCCCTGGCCCCCAGCCAGTCCAGGCCCCACCTGCCCAATGAACAGCCTCAGGCCAGCCGGAGGGCCCCTCAGGGTAACCTCAGTGAAGTCCTGGGTGCCCAGCTTCCTCTTAGCCACGCCTCCTTTGTTGGAAAGAAATGTTGCTGGGAGGAGGCGTCTGTTGATACCTGGCACTTTGGGGGTGGTCTGCACTCTGGTTAAAACCAGCCTGAAAATGCGTGGGCACACATGTTCTATTTAGAGCCGGTTCTTGATTTTTCATGAGCTGAGTATAGATAGAGGACTGTAGATGGTCAGAAACAAGCAAACAAAAAACAGTTACGTGAGGGGTGATTCACTCTGAACACTGAATGCCCTCTGTTTTCCAAGTCATTTCTCCCAGCTGGCATGGTGCCCTCGCCAACGGGGTAAGGTTTTCCCACTGTCACTGCCCCATACCATCCGTAAGGGTTGTGGGGTGGAAAACAGCAAGCCTGCTGTTTCTGTCTCTGGTGGATCCAGGGTTGCCACGATGGCACTCTAGTCTCCCTGTGCAGGCCAGACCCGATGGTTTCCCCAAGACTGGTCTCTCAAGGCTCTGGGCAGCCCCGGCCTAGTGAGCAGCGCAACAGCGCTGCGTCCTACGGTCAGTGAGAGCTGTACCTGGGAACCACCTGAAAACTTGCTCACCTGTCGGAATATTGGTCTATGACTCAGGTTACCCACATTTCAGGCATATTTGTGTTTGTGTCTGTAGACATGTGGGTTGTGGCCTTTTTTTGAATGGCGGTTGCTTGGCTATTCCAAAGCCATGCATAAGCCACACCATGGCCCTGCCGCCCTGGCAGCGTGGGTGGTGGGTGAGGGTCTAGAAGCCTCGCTCGGAACCTCACGCAGGGCCTTCATCTGAAACTCGAGCAGATCAGGGCGCTGCGGGCTCCTCCAACTCTAAAAGGCTTTTCTAGTTCTTTGTGTTGGACTCTCTGAGCCCATCCGTCGCCTCTCTCGCCTTCCAGCAAGTAGCAACCCGCTTCCATGCCCAAGCCCAGAACAGATTGAGGTGAGAGATAGGCAGGATTATGGAGGAGCCCCTGAGTTCACCTTTATTCCTGATGTCACCAGGGGGAGGAGTGGCTTCTAGTCCTGTAGCCAAGAGGCAGCTAAGTGACCCTGGGGGGTTGGGCAGCCAGGCCCACCCGCTGGGCCAGGTCACCCCCACTCCATTCCCACTGACTTCCAAGAGGAGGGAGGATGGGACTGAGTCCAATAGCCCAATGATCCCCCCAGTCTTGGAGCAGAATGAGCAGAAGGTCAGAGAGCAGCCAGGCCTGGCTTAGAGAAAATCCTTCCCCCAGAAGGGTTGGGGTGTAAGGGGAGGCTGCCTCCCCAGTCCCATTCCCGCATGGTGAAGAGGGCGTGGCAGGGCGGGGCTGCCTGCACGCACATCTGTGCGTGTCAGGGTCTGCCTGGGTGTGGGGGCTCCAGGGAGGGGCGCAGATGCTAAAACCTGCTCCTTTGCCCCACACAGATACGGCCCGGAAAGGCCGCGGTCACGCAGTCCGGTGAGCAGGTCGCTCACGCCCAGCTTCACCTCCTGCAGCTCTTCCCACAGCCCCCCTGGGCCCTGCCGGGCCGACTGGGGCAACAGCCGGGACTCCTGGGAGCACTCTCCCTACGCCAGGAGGGAGGAGGAGCGGGAGCCGGCCCCTTGGAGGGAGAATGGGGAGGACAAGAGGGACAGGACAGACTCATGGGCGCACGATCGCAAACACTACCCCAGGCCGCTGGACAAAGGGGAGTTAGAGGAGCGGCTGGAAGGGGGGCGGGGCCACCGAGACAAGCACCCCAGGCCGGGGTCCCCCAGCGCACTCCACTCTGCGGCTGGCTACAAGAGCCGGGAAGATGGCTACTACCGGAAGGAGCCCAAAGGCAAGTCGGACAAGTACCTGAAGCAGCAGGAGGCCCCGGGGCGGTCCAGGAGGAAGGATGAGGCCAGGCTGCGGGACAGCAGACACCTCCACCCCGACTATGTGGGCAAGGAAGATGGCCTGGAGCCCAAGGTCACGCGGGCCCTGGAGAGCGCCAGGCCCAAGCCGAGTGAGAAAACGAGAACCAGGAGACCTGACAGAGACCAAGAAGGAGCTGATGACAGAAGAGAGAGCAGGACAGTGGAGAATGAGGTAGGGAGGGAAATCGCTTGAATGGAATGCTGATGAGTTTTGGTGCTCAGCACTTTATCTCGGTCAAGGCATTTAGTCTTCCCCATTTAGGCAGCCCATCACACCGGTGCTATTATTGCTGTAGGTGAGGAAACTGAGGCCCAGCACTGGGGTGAGTTGCCAAGGACAGGCAGTGGGGAGTGGCAGGGCTGAGTGATGCGGGGGTGACTGGCCGTCTTCATAGACGCAGGGCAGGGACGCAGTGCCGAGGCCTCCCCGGGTCCTGTCTGTCCAGGGTGGAGCGGCCCTCAGGTGTTTGCACCCACAGACTCTGCCAGGGAGATTACACCTTTGGTCCATGCTCTTGCCAGAAGTGCCCACCAATTCCCAGGCTTTCATGAGAGGCAATAAAAGAGAAGCAGCCACCACCCCCTAAATTATATTGGGTGCCCAACCTTGGGGTGTTTCTCTTGACACTGTCCACCGTGGTGACTGCCACTGTCATAAAAGTGCCTGGCAGTTGGCTGGCACCTTTCATCCAAGCGTCTGATGAGTTACAACCTACTGCTTAACTTCGGTTCACACAGTGGGCCACCAAGAGGACTCTGGGTACCAAGTCAATGTACTGATTTGGCTTAGACTTCCTTCCTGCCAGTGCTGCCTACATTGAAAGAGTGGGGAGAGGGTGGAGAATGGCGGTCCGCTTAAAGAACCCAGTGTTTTAGATGGTGCATGTCCTTCTCAAAGTTGGCTGGGAGGGGAAAGCCCAGGAGATAAGATTAGGGAAGGGGGATGGGGTGGGGTGGGGTGGGGTGGGAAGGACCTCCTGTGCCGGGCCGAGGGTTTATGCTGGATCCTGAGCACCTTGAGCCAGCCATGTTTATAAGAGAGTCTGAGCGTGGAGGGGCTATATGGGGGGGCACAGAGGGGCAGGCTCTCCTCTGCCTTGTTCTCTACCTTGGAATGGGTGTGTGTGATCACAAGACTCATGCAGCTCTTTCAGGAACTTGTGCTTTTGGGGTATGGTACCTTAAGAAAAAGCTCCGGTGCTGGAGAAGCCAGTGTGTGCGTCTCAGGACTTGAGGGTGGCTGAGGCTGTAAGAACATCCTCACCACAAGACCCTGAGAGGAAGGAGAACATCACGAGGCACCCCTCCACCTTCCCAAAAGGGGCACCTGGGGTTATCCATCCAGGTGGGGGCAGGCAGGGAACGCAGACCAGGTAGTGTAATGAAGCACTGGTAGAGAGGTGGTGGAGAGGGGCTATCAGAGGAGGGGGCGGGGCTGTGTGTTGGAGCAGTCCTCGACTGCTCACCTCCCTGTGTGACAGCGTGCGGGCCTCTGTGCCCTCAGATCTCACACTTAGTGTAAGAGCGAAGGCCAGATCGCTACATGAAATTTCCCCTGTTTTAGAAAGCGTATGGCCCAAAATGTGTCTGGGGGCCAGATGTAGCCCTCAGTACAAATAATCCATAGGAGGGGGGAAGAAAAATCATTTATACTCAATTCAGAGCCCAGACAGACCCCAGCATCCCTGCACACAGTTACAAGCTCATTTTTCACTCTACCGCTTCTAGTAACTTCCATTCTTTTACTCACCAAAATCCATGGAGCACCAAGCACCAGGGCTAGAGTGAGAGAGAGCTGAGATGACCCTGTAGCTATAGAACTCATGGTTTAGTAGAAAGTCACGCTAGTTAATTCCTCAAATGAGTAAAAGAGTGAGTGTTGATTACTAAGGTGATGAGGTGCACAGTGCCTGGGTTAGGATGTGACCATTGAGATTTGAAGAACTGGTGAGTATTTACTGCAAGAAAAGGAAGGAGAGCAGACGGGGGGAACAGTATGTGCAAAGGCCCTGTGGTTAGCCCCCAGCGTTGGACGAGAAAACCAGGGTCAAAATGGTGAGAGGTGAGACTCATTTGTCAGCAGGGTCTTGTATGCAGGTGAAAGATTTTTGCCTTAATTGTAAACGGAAGCAAAAGAAATATTTGAGTGAGAAGAAGACGTAGGCAGCTGTGATAAGCTTTTTCATTTGGGAATGATCTGTCTTAATTGCATTGGGGAGACTACATTTGGGATGAGGCTACAGAGTAGGAGAAGCAGCAGACCAGTTGGGTGGCCAGGAGATGAAACTGCTCCAACGCACGGACCTAAAATGTTGGTCCATTAGCTGATCTGGGCAGCGGGTACGTATTGGCTGCATCTGTCTGCTCCCTTTAAGCTTCTGATCTTAACTGAAAGCGATCCTGGGGCAGAGCAGTCTGCTGAGATGCACTGCCCTGTTTCCAGGGCGTGCAAAAAGGGGTCTGCCTGTGGAGGCCTTAGGCTGGGCCAGGCCTCCCCTGCTTCTCCTGGCTTAAAGTGGAGATGGTCTCTTTACTCCTTTAACCTAGGAGTGTGACTGCAAGAATTGCTTGGGAAGTTTACCATTTATTTTGATAAGGGAGAGCCATGGATGATTTATCCAGAGAGACAGACATGAAGAAAAGCAGCATCCTTTCTGTGAGTTCCATCGTAGGGCAGCAAAGTCAGATGAAGCACAGTTTGGGGAACACGGCAACCAGGACCGTGGGGTGCAGTCAGCTGGGTTGTGCCCTGAGCAACCCAAGTGGGCACTCACGTAAACTGTCATAGACTGTCATACCCACAGTGGCAGTGTGAGGCCCGGTGGTCTCTGTAACTCCAGGGACCAGTAGGACCTGCATGGAGGATCCACTGTTGATAGAAGCTGCAGGTTCTCGTGGCTAACCAGGCAGCTGGAAAGGCTTGAATGTAGGTTAGCACAGAAGATGTCTCTGTGGCATCTTTTGCACCAAACACTGGAACGAGGACCTGAGCTGTCATTTTCAGTCTGGTGACAACTGGTTAAACGGTTGTCGCTAAGCTGCAGCTCCAGCTGGCTCCTTTAGCTCAAGGGGTGTGTGTCTCATTGGTGAATGTCAGAACTGGAGCCGCTTCCTTTGAATCAGCCACAGCTGAGAGTTCTGAGAAAATGTAGTTTGTCCTTGAGGAAGGCCAGGAACAGTCATTGATTTGGTGGCCTAAGTTTATGTCCTGGAAGCCTTTTTCCCCAAAACAGGGTAGGCAAACTCTTCTTACAAAACATCAGCTAGTTAGCACTTTATGTTGTGTGGGCCTGGAGGCAAAATGAAGATGTTATATGGCTACTTACATAATCATTAAAAATGACTATTTAAAAATGCGAACAATGTCATTAGCTCACAGAATGGACAAAAGCAGGTGTGTGGATGCTGGCTTGCTGGTCAGTGACCCTGATTCTCAAGCCAAATTCCTGCTGTCAATTTCCCTGGGCACAAGCACTGACATACGGGACTTATTTTGGGAGAGGGACTCGAAGGAAGTCCCTCTCCCAGAATAGAGGGGAGCATCACTGATTGGATCACAACCTACTTCCTACCAAGAAGTACCTGGGATGTAATTTCTTTATGCCAGGACACATCTATTGCAGACACATGGCCACGCTAGGTCCTGGGCCAGTTAGTTCAGGGATTTCTGTCCCCCTAAGCCATCAGGTCAGCTGTGAAGATATTTCTGTGGCCATTTGTCTGTGTGATCTTGGGCAAGTTGCTCAACTTCTCTGAGCCTATTTTCTCATCTGTGAAATGAAGATGCTAATAGCACCAGGAGTTTTGTGAGGAGGAGGAGGTGCGTAAAACACACCTGGCAGCTGGGAGCCTGCCAATGCCAGTGTCTTTCCTGTGGCGCATCCCCCCCCTTCCTCCTCCATTGCTTACTACTGACTTGTTTGTTCTTCCTTTGGAAAGGCTGAAAAAGAGGGACAGGAAGGCAGGGAAGAAAGCCCCTCACCAGCATGCAGGCAGGAGAAAGAAACAGAGTTCTCTGATGCAGAAACTGCAAGGGCAAAGCAGGTAAAGTTTGTCCTGATGCCCCCTCATCTGCAAGACCCCTGCTGTCCTCCCCCCAAACCCCACCCCCACCCCCATCCTGGGAGGAGGAACTTGTGCCTAGCATCTTGGGGCGGTCTTTATTGAGGAGATCTTAACCACATGCCTGGGCTTTACCTCACTCTCCAGTGACTTGGCTACACTCATAAGAGAAAACATGTGCCCAAAAAAAGACTCAGGCTTCAGAGCCAGGCTCCCAAAATAGGCAGGTCCCTGGGGAGAGGGTGGGGGTGGGGGGCTTCGGGCACTCGAGCTGGCGCCCTGACCTCAGCTGGCCCAGACCCTGGATGAACATGCCATCCACTGTGCTTGTAAAGCTTATTTGACTTAATCAAAATGAAAAGCCCAGTTACGGTACCGAGGCTGCCACCACATGCAGAAAGGCGCTTGAACTGTGGCCAGCTCTGTGTCTTTCTGGATCGGGGGGTTGGGGGTGGGGTGGGGTGGTGTGTCTCTGGCAGGGAAGCCTCTGAGGCTGCTGCTGGGTCGGTGGGCTGCTGGATGCCAGGGAAAGTGCCGAGCGGCGGAACACAAGCCATGGTAATGGATGTGGAACCTTTCTCAAGCACCTTCTGCATACTAGAGTTTGACATTCTCTGTGCAACTTTAAAGATGGTGGATTAACCACAGGACTCACTCCAAATGCTGTGCTGTTTGGAGCCTGCCTGAGGTGAACCAGTGATGTGGGACTTGATAGGGTTCCAGGTCCTCATCCCCCCCGAGTAGCTTCCAGGGATCCTGGCTTCATAGTTCCTTGCTAAATTTGTGTCTCCTGGTTCAATACCATGACCTGATCCTTGGTCACCCTGTAACATGTGATCTGCAATTTTGTTCAGGAGCAGCAAGACTGGGAGAGCGGAAGTGAGGCGGAGGGGGAGAGCTGGTATCCCACAAACATGGAGGAGCTGGTCACCGTGGATGAGGTTGGGGAAGAAGAAGATTTCATCATGGAGCCGGATATCCCAGAGCTGGAAGAAATTGTGCCCATTGACCAGAAGGACAAAATCTGCCCAGAAATGTGTCCCTGTGTGACAACCACCTTAGATTTGGACTTAGCCAAGGATTTCACCAAGAAGGGAGTCCACACCCTTGGTAATGGGGCTTCAGAAATCATCCTTAAGTCGCCCAGAGAACTGCCTTCTGCTTCCACGAGCTGTCCCAGTGACATGGACGTGGAAATGCCCAGCCTAAATCTGGATGCTGAGCGGAAGCCAGCTGAATGTGAGACTGGCCTCTCCCTGGAGGGTTCGGATTGCTACGAGAAGCAGGCTAAGGCCGTGGAGAGCTCAGACGTGTGCCCGGCCCCTGCAGTCCAGCAAATGTCTTCCCCCAAGGCAGCTGAGGAGAGGGCCCAGCAGCCCAGCCCATCTCTCGATGACCGCAAGGCCAGGGAGACTCCGGAAGATGGGGCCCGTGAAGGCAGCCCCCTGGAAGACAAGCCCAGCTCCCCCACTGGAACTGAGCTCCAAAGCCAGGCTTGCCAAGGAGTGTTGACCCCGGGTAATTACCTCCCCTTTCCTCATGTGTTTGGGTTGCCCGGACCGCTGCTCACCTGGAGAAGTGTGTGGGCATGGGCAGGCTGGAATGGACAGAGGAAGGTTTCACCTCGTGTTAGAGCTGGTGCAGAAAGCAGGCTGTTAAAGCCTGCCTAGACTAGTAGAGCTTTCAGACCAAGGGTGTAAAGGGAATCAGAGAGGCCACGCATTTTCCGAAACGCAAACTAAGATAGAATGGCTGCTCTGAATTTCCAGGAGCCCAGATGGGCCCTGACAACTAAAACTGGCCAGCGTTTGCATTATTTGGCAGAGGAGTTTGGGCTTCTGGGGGTCAGTGAGCGGCCTCTGGTACCTGCACGGCAGAGGACCGCCCTGGCGGTTGCTTCTCCAGGGCTCAGGGTGGAGGAAGTGTGGCCGCTGGAGGAGGGAGTGGGCCCGGGAGGAGTGAGGGGCTGCTCAGGGGCGTGGCTCGTTCCTTACTACTTACAACTGCAGACCTGTTTTTCTTCAGGGCCTGATGGTGAAACAGGACTTGTCCTGGGATCTCCTCTGCCTCCCGTTGGAGGTGATGTGGCTGTGCCCGGCACTATGACATCATGAAAGAGAGTTTAAAATAGGCTAAGCCCTGTCCTCTCTGCCAAGTGGAAACTCAGAACCATTAAGGGCTGAGGAGGGAGCGGGGGGGAGGAGTGGCCCTCGACATTTGATATTCTCGTAGTAAAAATCATGGCCATCACTTCACAGAGTCGTGGCGTATCAGGGGCTGAAATGGGGGGACAGGACTCAGGGGCACAACCTGCAGGCGAAAGGCTTCGACCCAGCACGTGGGGCTGGTGCAGCTGGCAGGTGTGGAGGCCACGCCGTCCTCCGTGCTGAGCTGACCAGAGCTGCTTTCCACCTGCCTGGGTCTGAGTCTCCATGGAAACTCTGCCATAACTGCCTTCTGCCTTCCTGTTGCTAGAGAAACACAAGGCCCGGGCCTGTCTCGCCAAGGCAGGAACAGAGGCGGAGCGGAATTTTCACCTTGCTCTGATTGAGTCCTTTCCATTTGGCAGTATAAGTCTCAACACGCACCGTGCTCATGGCTTATTAGCTTCCCCAGTGTTTGGGGTTCACATTTAATAACAGCGCTCCACACGCTTGGGGCGCGGATGGCGTTGCCTTTGGCCAGCCTCCGTGCTCCTGTGGATGTCAGCACAATCTTTGCCCTTCCATAATTCTGCCTGCAGAGATGGGGTGATACTGAGTCAGGGGTGGGGAGGCCGGAGCGGATCATCCAGCCCAAGGCTGCAGCAACCCAGCCCCCCTCTTCTCATCCAAGGCAGAGGTGTGCCAAGATTGATTGTGTGTGGCATTCTTTTGGCAGTGGAAAAAGCCCTTAATGATAGCACTTTGGTTCTAATTAGCACCCAGCGCCCCAGCCTCACGTTATTAAGCAGTCGCAGGCTTAATCCCCGGTCACACCGTGCAGGGAGCAGAACTGCAGTGTTGAGTGTTTCATTGGTTCCTTGCCCGGACTCATGTTTTGCAGAAAACTCCAGCTACGTGGAAGTGAAGCCTCTGGACGTGAGGTCGCCAGACCACGAGGTGGAGCTGAAACAGCCCCTTGCTTTGCCTTCCTGGGACCCAGAGGATATGTTCAGTGAACTTAGCATTCCTCTAGGTAGGTGACAGACACCAGACCCTTTCCGGGAACCCAGCTCCACAAAATGGCAGCTGCCCAGCAGCCCCTTAGAACCGGGACAGCCTGGCCGTTCTTGTTTGTGAGTCTGACGCAGTCACCTGGATCCCCCGCGGGGTGCCCGCTAGGCGATTTCAGCTCCCCACGGGGCCAGGCCTTGCCCAGCTGCCCAGCTGCCCAAAGGCTGTGCACCTGCCTTCCGCTCTGTGCTGCCTCCCACCTGCTTCCCAAACAGTGCTGCATTTTTCCTCTTCCGGGGACCAGCTTCTGAGGCAGCGGTGTGGCACAGACCCGGCCTCGCTGCCAGAAGAGCACTAACCAGTGTGAGGTGTCGCATCTGTTCTCTTACTGAGTGCTGTGTGTCCTCAGACAAGTCATTCCCTGAGTGGGACTTTTGTGTTACTTTTCCCAGTCTCTCTAAGACCTTTATCAACAAGGCAGGTTAAACGCATTACCAGACACATGAACAGGCTCTTCTTGGAGGCCCGGGGTGGCGGGCTGGGGGCTCTTGCCTGGCATATGGAAGTAGACCACATACTAGGGTTCCTCAGTGCTGGCAGTGTTCGGAGCCGGGGCAGGGAGGGAAGTTAAGAATAGAATCACCTATCACACATTTCCAAGAGGAGGGTTAACTCGAGTCTTAGGAGAGGGATAAAGTTCTCTGGCTCTGACACCGCTGCTAACCAGGCAGCCGCCCCGTGGTCCTTGCGATGACCCAGGAAGGGGGGAAGGCAGTGAGAGGAGGCGAGAGAGTCGGGCGGGGTACAGGGGCGCAGGGGGGTGCTTGCGCTTGCTGAAGACAGGGACCAGTGTTCCTGCTGCAGGAGGCCAGGCCAGGGAATGGGGCTCACCCTTCCCATTGGGGAGCTCGCTTTCTTCCTTTAAATGTTCTTACTGTTTCTACCCTCCAGAGGTACCAGTTTCATTGAGTCAGATTTAGAAAGCAAATACCCTTTTTTGTGAGATTTATTTATTTATGCATACAAGAGCTGGGGTACAGGCCAGAGGTGGGGGGGGCGGTGAGGATCCACCAGAGACAGAGTGGAGAGCAGGACAGGCAGATCTACTGAAATGCACTGCCGAGGGGGCAGTGGGCAAGTCAGGAGAGGTCTGCTGCGCCCTGTGGGTCAGCTCCCTGGCTGGGGATCGAACTTGTGCTACAGTGGCTGGCTCAGCTTCATAGTGCTGAGACATAACATCCTGTGCCACCAGAGGGGCCACCAAACATCCTATTTTTTGTGAGAGAAAAAAACTAAACATAGAAATACTCACCCGAAGCTGAGCAATAGTAATCACCTGAAGACCCTGGGTATTTCCATCCTGGGAAAATGGCAGGGGAAGGGTGGCAGCGGGTGGGCTGGTCATCTGTGCATTCTTCATTGCTGTCATTGACTGAGCAGCTGGGTGGCACTGCCCATGCCAAATACAAGTCTCCCGTAGCCAAGAATTTGGATTCTAATTGACACATAAAGGCAAAAATTAAGAAAACATTCTGTTACTTTGTAATTTGTGCTCCTTTTTTGTTGCTGTTTTCACTATATAAAGTGCAAAAGATTATTGCAACAGAATTTTGAAATTAGAACCATAGAAAATAAGTATTAAATGTTGTATCTCTTCCCTCCAGAAGATACACCCTAACTCCAGAAAAACCACTATCATACCCACAGACAGTTTCCCCCCCTTCCCCCAAAACAGTGGATGACAGTATACACATAAAGTTGGCAGTTTGCTTTTTAAGCCTAACAGTGCGTCTTGGCGATGGCTTCTTGCCACATGGAGGGAATGTATTCTTTTTAACCATTGCAAATATTCCATCTTAAAAGATACTCATTCTGTAACTCACTGCTACGGGAGAATCATTAAGGACAGTTTCAATTCCCCCCCAATATTAAAATGCCATCACAGCTAAGATTTTACTTTATCATTTGCCACGCAGGCACGGTCCCTGGGGCTTTGCGTGCATCTTCTCATCGAACTCTCTCAAAGCCCCCATGAGCGAGGGGATCTTTTATCCGTTTGCAGATAGGGAATCTGCAGGGTTTCAAAGCAAAGCTCAGCAAAGAGGGGGGTCAGGATGCAGACCCCAGAGTGCTGACTCCCTGGCTCCCCGAGCGCTGCCTCCAGGCTTGCGGCCCCCAGATGTGGCTGCTGCCTTTGTGTGCCAGCCAGTGTTCCTGCTAGAGAGCGTCCTTGCCGGGGGCTTGAGGGCCTCTGCATGTTTGCATTTCAGCTTTTCATAATTGCTACTAAATTGCTCTCCAAAAAGATTATACCAGTTTCCACCGCAACCTTGACCGAATGTTCTCATTCTCCCTGCCAACATTGGATGTTATCAGTTTTTAATCCTAACCAATCTGTTAGGAGGAAAATGGTACCCCATTCTTGTTTTTTAATAGCTCAATTAAGGTATAATTGGTGTCAATTATTGATGTCAATGCGCATATTTAAGTGTACGATTGGATCCATTTTGACAAATGTATACACCTATGAGACCGTGACCATGATAAGACAGTGAGCTTACTCATCACCCCACCTCCCACTCCAGGTTTCCTGGGGCTCCTTTATAACCTCTCTCCCTGTATCTCAATCCCTAGGTCACTACGGATGTGATTTTTTTCCCACTATGAGCTCGCAACCTGCAATTATATAGAAAGGAAACCCTACAGTATGTGTTGCTTTTGTCTAACTTCCACCCTCCGTGTGATTATTTTGAGGCTGTGGAGTCTATTGCTAGCTGCCTTCTTTTTATTACTGAGGAGTATTGCTTGTGGCTGTGGATGGGCCACATTTTGCTTTTTCATCCATCCGTGGATGGGCATTTGGGTTGTGTCCAGATTGGGGCTCACACAGCTTATACTTTTGTACTTGGTACCATCTTGGAGACTCGTTACCGCATTAATCTCCTAGAGAGGGTGATGGTCTTATTTTCCACATTTGCGAGATGGGGATACTGACGCCCAGAGACTTAGCCAACATCATGCAGCAAGTCCAGCTGAGAGCTCAGCATTTCCCAGATGAGACCGCTCTGCACTCTTCCTCCAGGGGGGTGGCGCAGTATAGAAAGGGCAGTGTTTGTGCAGTGGTAATGAACGCAGGCACTGGAATCTGACTCCCGGGTTCAAATCCAGGAGTCAGAAGAACAGCTAATGTATCCTCCCTGCTTGGCTTTCTGCCTGTAATAGGGTAGTAATAGCCTACCTTGTAGGGCTATCTTGAGGATGAAATGAATGGATACTTGTAGGGGAGGGTTGTCTGCTGTGATTATTTGTACATTACATCACACACCCAAGTGTGAGACTTACTGTGCTTCCTCTTCCTGGGACTGCATAACCCTTGCTCTGTCATGATTGTTCATGACTACAGCCATTTCCGGGGATGTGGGGGACCACTTTCAGGCTCTTCCTCTGTGGAGAGCAGGGAGGCAGAGTAAGGGGTGTCAGGATGGGGCACACCTCCAGGAGGAAAGAGAGACAAAGTCTCACTGCTCAGGGTCTGGGTGGCGTGGAGGGGAAGGGCTTCATTGCTGTGTTCCTTGCCCGCTCCAGTGACCCCTAGAGCTTGAGCCTGGTCTTACCAGAACCAAGGGCATTGCCTGCAAAAGGCAAGCTCTCCTCCACCCATCGCAGGCATTGCTTGGATGATGGAGTCATACGCAAGCCAGGAGCTATTATTAGAAGGCAAATGTAGTTTTAATTATTGTACTTAACAGAAGCTGAAAAATGGGAGGACCGATGGTTCCAGAACTCGTTCAGGCTGTGGGAGTCTTTTCTTAATGCTGCCGCTCCACTTGGCTCTCACATTCCAGAGGCTTCCTGAGGCAGTACTGACTCAGAACTGCCCTCGGCAGCTCCCCGTTACTTAGGAGAGTGTTTGGGGGCTGCTTTGTCCGCCTGGCTTTCTGCTTCTCCGGTGCTGATGGCCAAGTATTGACTGGCAGTCACCACAGGGGAGATGGATTCGGGGTTCTCAGGTCCGCCCTGGTCAAAAGGTGGAGGGTGGAAATGTCAGCGTGCTGGCCAGTGGTCTCGTGGAGGAATGTTAAAAATGTGTCTGGAAACTGATGTTTTTGACATTAGGCAGAATGATAGGTGCTTCTCCTAACACCATCTGTGGCATGTTATTCCTCTTTTACAGATGAGGAAGCTCAGGTCAGAGAGAGGTTAAGTGATGTCCCTGAAGCCACACAATGTGAATAAAAGAATCAGTTGATGTGACTCTAAATTCCATTTCTGCTTCTTCCTACTAAAACTGCAGTTTCCAAGTCTCTATTTTTTTTGAGCCTTGGTTCACATGAACTCTCACCCAGAATCCCACAGATGGTAGTTGTCTTGTTTGGGCTGAAGGGTCCCTGGCTCCCTGCTCTCCAGAGGTTTTTGAGGCAGTTACTCCCCTTCTAGGGGGCCCAGGACAGGAACTAAATGCCTTTTGGGAAACCTGAGGATTCCGGGGGGCCTCAGCAGGGGTCTGCAGTGCGAACCCCAGGGCTTCTTCCTGACACCACCCAGTGGGGTCCTGCACCCAGGCTGAGGCAGTACTGGCTTAGAACTGCCCTCCACAGCTCCCCGTTATTTAGGAGAGTGTTTGGGGGTTGCTCTGTCCGCCTGGCTTTCTGTTTCTCCAGTGCTGATGGTTAGGTATTGACTGGGGACCCCACCCAGGCTTTGGCTCTGACCCACCTACCTCTACTCCCTGGGGCCTCCTGGTGGGGCTTCCCCAGTGCATTGTGGGTCTCTGCTCCCCGTTGGGATCAGCCAGGGGAGAACTGTTTTGCAGGAACAGAGGACAGAGGCCGGTCTTGCTTAATGTTTATCTGCCAGCCCACAGCCAAGAGCCAGGGCCCACGCAGGGTGGAGGGCCAACTGGCTGACCACAAGCAGAGCTGGTCCCTTTTTGCAACAAGGCGGGGTGGGGTGGGGGAAAGAGGAGGTGGAGGGCCCTCCTTCTTCTTGAATAAGGTCCCTGGCTTCTGGGGACCGCTGTTGTCTGCTGAGGGCAGCTTCCAATGTGGCAGTTAGAGAAAGGAGGAGGCTGAGTCTGCCAGGCCCCAAGCCACAAGGAGCAATCCGTCAGGGCAGGCGTCCAGGTTCCCACCTCCCCTGGGCCTGCTCCTCCACCCTGATAAGTGGCTTTTTTGCAACGAAAACAAAAGTTGACATCGCAAGTCTAGGCTGCTCCTAGGAGAGAAGCTCCAGTTGCTCTCAGCTCCGTGTCACGGAGGCAGGAGGGAAAATGAAGGAAGTCCCGGACTCGGGGCCACACACGGTCGGCTCTGCCCTCGCAGGGTGCCGTCTCCTCTCTCACCCCGAGGAGCTGCTCTTCTCCCAGCCCTCTCTCCTTGCACCTAGAGAAGCTGCCTCCGCCAGACCATCCCCACCCAGGTGGGCAGCGCTTGCAGGGCCCAGGGTATTGCGTGAGTGCCCGGCCCCGTGGCCGGGTGGAGTCGGTCTTTCGTTCCACGGGGCCTGCTGCTCACAGCCCTCACGTCCCTGTCTTAGTCGGTGCTTCCCAGCCAGTGCCTCGGGAGCAGGGCGGGCGTCCTCGCCTTCCGGATGCGAGGCCTAGGCCTGAGGCCCAGCCGGGGTTCGGCCGCCTCTCCTGTTGTTCAGCTTCTTGGTGCCTGGCCAGTGCCCGCTCAGAACTGGCTCTTTCCCCTCTGCTGACCTTGCATTTGAGGGCAGAATTGGGGTCCCTGAGGCATCTCCGTGGAGGCAGCAGAGCCCCCAGCTCTTCAGAGATGACCCCCCTGGCCCAGTCACAGATACTTCTCTGACTGGCCATGGCTTCCTCCCTTCAGAATTGAAAAGCCTCTCAGCACCACGGGACTTATATTAGCCAGCCACTCTGAGCTGATGGTTCCGACATAAAGACTAGAGGGAGAAAAGAAATGTTTGTGACACACTGTTTTACTTGAGAAAAGGGGCACAGGGCCCTCCCTGGTGGCACAACAGGTTAAAACGCAGCACTGTGAAGCTATCTGCAGCCACTGTAGCACAAGTTCAATCCCCAGCCAGGGAGCGGACCCACAGGGTGCAGCAGACCTCACCTTTCTCCTCCTGCCCCCTCAGCAGTGTATTTCAGTGAATCCACCCGTTCTGCTCCCCACTCTGTCTCTGGTGAATCCTCTCACCTACCTTACCCCACCCCCCACAACCCTCCCTGGCACCTCTAACTTGTACCCCAGTTCTTGTGTGCATAAATAAATCTAAAAAAATGAAAGGGGCAGAAGGCACTGAGTCTAGGAGGTGATCCAACCTGACCCCCCAAATGTCCCTAGCGTGGGGTGCCTGGAGCGCCTTCTACCTCCTTACTGGGAAGCAGGCTGCGAGCTCAACAGCTGGGCCTCGTTCCCGGGGCTCCCTCCTCCCTGCCTGCGCCTGTCAGCGGACTGGTGCTGTCCTCCCCCTGCCTGTTTTGCAAATGAGGAAACTGAGGCTCAGAGAAGCTGGTAACTGGCCAGAGTCAGCGTCAGAGAGCGCTGGCACCCTTTGCTCCTCTTTCCGCCCGACAGCTGGCAGCACTGCTGCCCCCCCACCCCGCCTTCCTAATGGCCCCCCTCTCCATCCCATCTTCCCAGGGGTGGAGTTCGTGGTGCCCAGGACGGGCTTCTACTGCAAGCTGTGCGGGCTGTTCTACACGAGTGAGGAGATGGCGAAGATTAGCCACTGCCGCAGCGCCGTGCACTACAGGAACCTACAGGTAACGGCCCCTGCCCCTAGCATGCCGGGCCTGCTCTTATGCCCCCTGCACCTTCCAGGCCTGCTCTTCGTGGAGGCCTGGCCCTCCATTTTCGTGAACGAGCTTCAGGGGACTAAAAGGCACCTTGCACCAACCTTGCTCCTTCTGTGTGGGTTAGCATTTCCAAAATTTGTGCCACCTGAGGAACTGGTTAGTGTTCACGCCACCAGGCCTGGGTGTTCCTGCTCAGACGGCTGTTTCTCTGTGCTTCTCTTCCCTGTGCAGGTGCCTGTTTGCTGGCTAAAAGCCACTCTCATGTTCTATTTAAGTGTTTCTCCAAACTACAGCTCTTGAGCATAGCTCTTTATCACTGTGTACCAGAGAGTTCTAGGTGCTAGGGACACATTGGCGGAGAGCAACAGAGGCTGCCAGGGCCCCTGTCCTCTGCACCAAGCTTCCATTCTAGTGCAGGAGACAAACCTTCAGTAAAACAATTAAGCTTTCTAGTGATGAAGAGGTGATCTAGAAGAAATACTGTACATGTACATGTCTTATTTCACCCAAGCTAAGGGCCCAGCCATTGTGAGACCCCACTATTTCTCACTATAATGAGGGGGGGAATGTTATCACTGAACAGTGAGATGCTGTCAACTATAAAATACATCTCAACTTCAGAAGTGCGTAGAAAAATGCATTAATACCCATGAAATGTGCTGATACGTTCTATGATATACACTGATATGTAACATTAGTATGTGGTTTTCATCATGAACTTCTGATCTAGGCTGGAACAGAAAGTGTGGTCCGTCAGGCACCCGCCAGTATCTCATAGCACCCCCTGGTTTCACCACAAAGAATCACACTGGGTGTTTGACATGTGAGGCCTCTGCTCAGGACCCCCCCCCCCAGCAGTGTCCCCTCTCTCTGGCAGGTGTTACTGTCACTTAAATTGTCATCGAGCGCTTCTTACCAGGGCTGTGAGCCAGAATCAACTGCCAGTGGTCTGAAAGTATAGGTAGTCATAGGAATTCAGGGAGACCCAGGAATTTGTTATGTGAGAAAGCTCTGCAGATGATTCACATGTGCACCCTAATTAAGTCAACCTGATATGGGCCAACTCTCTTTTTATAAAGGAGGGAGCCAAGATTGGAGAAAGATTATCATTTGTCCACCGCCCCGGAGGTGGTCAGTTACCAGCCTTGGGACAGATCGCCTGATTCTTAATCACTTGACTCTCTTTACTCTACTAAGCGGCTCTTGCCAACTGAGGCCTGTAAGGTCATGGCCTGGGTCACCCTCTTCCTGGGGCCGTCATTGGCTGTGCTCAAACTCGAGCGGTCATTTACGTGGCTTGACTTCCCTCCAGGGAGCAGCTGCTCTGTGACTGGAATCCATGGGACCAAGGGCCCAGGTCATGTCCTGCCCCGGGAAGGACACTGAAGCCCTGATTTGGCCAGACCTAAGGCTCAGACTGGGTTCTACAGAGCCAGCTGAGGGGGGCTGTCTACTCCCGGCATATCACCCCCATAAGATGAAACCTGCAGAATAATGGCGCTGGAGAGCATCTGGAAAATCATCTGGTCCTGATATTCCCCTAATTGATATTCATACTAATTGGCATCTTTAAAAATGCAGCTTCCTAGACCCACTCCACACCTGCTTATTCATCCTCTCCAGGGCGAGGCCTGCAGTTAAAAAATCTTTCCAGCAAGTTCTGAACCTTTTATCTTCTCCGGCATTCTCGGCTGGAATTTGTGGCCTCCAAGGAGACCACACAGCTCAAGGTCACCCAGCAAGTCAGGAAGAGTGTTCGCTCATCGGGGTCTCTGACTTTTTTCCTGTATTTTTGCCAGGATACGGATGGCATTTCTAGGCAGCCGCCCAGGCAGACCCCTCCCACAGTAGAAAAGAGCCACCTTCCATGGCCCCCAGGCATGTCAGGCCAGACAGTGGCTAAGCCCTGGACCCACCAGCACAGTTCAAGTTTCCCTGCTGCACCTGTCAGAGAGCTGGGTGCCTCACGCAGACTGTCCAGATAGGGTTTCTGTTGGGGGCCCAGCCCACCCCAAGTTACACTTGTGGAAAGGGAAGAATCCAGACTCAAGCAGCAGGTGTTGGCTGACACCTACGTCCGGCAACTTGTAAACTTAGCACCCACTGGGAGGCCTTGAGGGAGTCATGGGTTGCTGTTGGAGGCGGGGAACAGGTGGGAGCAGCTTTCTTTCTCTCTGTGACACCCCTGCTGTGCCCACTGCTGGTCATGTCTCTGAGAATCCACTGGAAGGATCTGGAACTAGCAGGGTCAGTGCTGGACAGGCTGCCCCAGCTCCGGTTCGGAGAGCAGCATGCCCACACACAGCTGCCGCCCTTTGCCTCCCAAACACACGTTTCCCTTCCCTGAGCTGAGAAAGGAGAGGCTGGCCTGCCACCTGCAGCCCTCCTCAGGCCAGGCTCACGCACCTCCCGAAGCCAACCCCTGTCTCTGCTGAGGGCCCCACATAGTCCCAGTCAGCCTGCACCCCTCTTCTCACCTGACCCTCTGAGTCATACTGGTTGGGAGTCTGAGGCAGAGAAGATGAGTGATTCTCTGATGAGGTGGGAAGGGGCACCTCATGGAAGGCCTCTTTGGGAGAGGCCAGCTCCGCCAGCTCTCTGTCCCTCTCTCGGACTCCACAGCAGTCTGTAGGTACCATTATGGTCCTCCTTTTGCAGAGGCAAGAGATGTGAAGTGACCTGCCTGCTGAGAGCCTGCATGTAAGCCCAGGTCATCTGACTGCAGAGCCCACATGCATGCCCACTACTGCCCCAGCCCTGCTGACCCTTCATCTAGTGCCTGCTGCCCCTGTTAAAGCAGCATGTGGTGCAGGGCTTGCTACCGTTAGTGTCTGCGTTTTCCACAAGAGTCATGCCTCGCTGACACCCCAGCAGGACAGGGGCAGACGGGCAGTGGCTACAGGGGCCAGTAGAACAAGGAGCTGGGGGGGTCCTACTCGTTGGATAGGTTGGTAGAAGTGGGCTTTAGGGAGAACAAAGTGTGGTGGAGGACTTGGTGGTAGCTGGTGGGGCGCCATATTCCTGAATCATCTACTGTATTGTAAACCAATATTACCATAATAAAAAATAAATCTAAAAAAAGACAGTGGGGGAGGGGGAAGGGCACCCGCCCCTTTCTCTTCTCCCTGCCACCAGGTCACCACTGACCTCCCTCCCTCCTCTGTCCCTTGTCTCTCCACCACAGAAGTACTTGTCCCAGCTGGCTGAGGAGGGCCTGAAAGAGACCGAGGGGGCGAGCAGCCCGACAAGGCCCGAGGACAGCGGAATCATGCCTCACTTTGAAAGGAAGAAGCTCTGAAGGACACCGGCCGCTGCTGGGGACGGAGAGGAGGGCCTATGAGAGGGGCGGCCTGGCCTGCGGGCAGCAGCTAACGCCAGGCGGCAGGGCAGCCAGGCAGGCCGCCCGGGCTTGCCCTGAGGATTCCCCTGAAGTGCCCCTGGAGGTGTCCTCTTGGGGTGTCCTGCCCCCTGAGGGCTGTCAACTGTCTCCACCTTGACTCTTGTTTCCTTCCTCTTGCAATTAGCTTCTCGCTCGCTCTCTTCTTCCCCATTCATCCCTCCTGCCTATGCTCCCTCCTCTGTGCCAAGGGTCATTTCCTTTCCATAAAACCCAACTTCTCAGGGATTTTTCAGTGTTTCAGTTCTTGATGGGAAATGGCAGGTCGGGCCCGGCTGTTTTCCAAGGAAGAGAGTTCCTGGGGACCCTGAGTCCCTGCAGTGAAGGTGGGGCAGATTCTCTGTCCACCACCCACGGGCAGCCACCGGGTCCTGCGCCTGGAGAGGGGCATCCTCCGTCAGCAGCCGAGAGAAGCCGGATTCCTTTAGCTGCACCATTTGCCCTGGAAAGCCCTGTTTTTCATGGCTCCTTCATCCTCTCAATTGCTCTGGAAGTCTGACAGATGCATGCATGCCTTAAACTAAAATTAAATTACTTTCATGGAGGAAAAGAGCCTTTCTTTTGGAAGCTCTGGAATGTTCCTTTCACACTTTTTACCCCCTCCTCTTGACTTCAGGAGATACCAGGGTTTATTCTATTCTGGACGATTTGTTTTGATTAACAATGAGAACAGAAGTGTCTTCTCCTCCAGCTGAAACAGCACTTGGTAGAGGCTTAAGCCGAAGGCTGGCGCGCTGGCCTACCCTGGGTGGCAGTGACTTGGGGCACAAAGACAAGTGGCATCTGTCTTTGAGTTACCCTTGGTGCCTCCACCTGGCCTCACAGTGGGATGATTCTAAGTGGTCTCTGGGATGGGGAGAAGCTCAGGAAAGAGAAGAAGAGAGGAAGGAAGAACGCTGGCTCTTTGGAGGTGGGCCTTTTCCAGCTTGGCACAAGGTCAAGGTCGTCTCAGAGGTCACTGCATGACTTCGATGTGAAATGTTGTTATGAAGAGCAGACCCCTTGTTCCGATGGGGCTGTCTGGTACTGGGAGACTCCAGCCGCAGTCGGGCTACAGGGTCTGAGGCTGTAGTCCCCTGGAAGGGCTTGGGACAAGGTGCTAGGGGATCGGGCTCACCACAGCCAGTCAGGACCTCCAGCTGGTCTGAGGAGAGCCTGGTGCTGTTTCCACTGGGTGAGCACAATTCCAAAAGGATTTTTTTTTTGTTTTAATTTTTGCATTTTTCTTTTTATAGTAGATAAGAATATTCTATACATTCTGTCTTCTACAATACTGGCAGAAGGGTCGACAGATGACCTTATGTTTTATCAGTGAGGAAACAGACTCGGAGAGGATAAAAATGTAGAGCATTAAAACGGTCATGGGTAAACCTTGGGGCAACGGTCCCCAACAAGCAGGGAACCGTTGGGGGCTGAGAGGGGCACCAGGCAAGCACCAGAAGCAAATCCAGCCTGGACCTGTGCGGAGAGGAGAGGCCAAGGCAGGCAAGAAATCTGAACCTAGCTTCAGGTCACGTGGGGCCGGGAACTCTGGGTTCCTCGAAGAAAACAGAACTTAAGGATGTGTGTCTAGTCTCAGACCTAATCTCCTGCTGCCTCCAGGGTTTTTACCCAGTTTCTGGACAGCGGCTCTGCCACTGTCTCTCAGAAAACCTTTAACTCTGTACTCTGTGTCTTTCAGCCCTGGATGCAAGCCTAGGGTCACTCCTTGGGCTCCTCGCCTGACCTTGCTGGGAAAAACATACTGCGCCCAGCAGAGGATGGAGCCATGCCTTTCTGTGGCTGGCAGCCCCTCCCCCAGCAGAGTGGAAGCTGACCTCAACACTCACCTCCCAGCAGGGTTTCCGTGGAAACCGGAGGGCTGTTCAAACAGCCTCCTGCCCCAATAGTCTCAGGGCACCCTGCCAATAGACCTAGACCGAACTTCTCCATGTTGGAAAGTTGGAGAGAGTCCCTGGGAGAGGAGAGAAGGCCTCCCCCACCCGTTCCACCCCTCCACTCGCCCCCCCCACCACCCCGCATCCAGCAGAACCTTCAGTTTAAAAATCATCCAAAATTCTCTATTTGCATGTACATATATACATATATTTATTTTTATTTATTTTTATACAAGTCCACTGGCACGGTCCTTCACCCACTCTGTGATTTGCACTTTTTATTCCTATGTGTGCCATACACAGTGCAGAGTTAGAGGCAACCAGGAAAATATTGATTTCTTTTTTTAAAGCTTTTCATCAGTGTTTGTCAACCATTTCAAAGTGTCTCCCCAAAAAAGGTTGTTCAAGAGCAACTGCTTTGTTGAGCAACAGATACATCTGTACCCTGAGCTACAATAACGGAAGCCTATATTATCTCTTTTCACTGTAAACAGCTGAAATGCAGCATAACCAGACAGTATTCCTGAAGAATTGGTACTGTGACGTTGGGATGAGCAACAGCCACCGGGTCGGGAATTTCCCCTTCTTGGACAGTCTGAGGCCGTGATCTGTTAGATTATACTTGAACTGGACCAGACTTTGTTTTTTGAGCTTATAAGATAAACAAAATAACAAGCGCTAGCTAATTTAAGTTTGAATTTATAAAGTTTTGGAATTTGTTGAGTGTCCTATCAATTGTCACCACTTTTCCTGATCTGTATAACTGACCGCAAGTGTTTGTTTTTACAAAAGGGAAAACATAATTTTTAATAAAGAGAATTTGAAAGCTTGCGAGTGAGTATGGGGGTGTCTTGCCGGGGGCCCCCACTTGGGCCGGAGCAGCTCCCTGAGCACAGCGGTTGGGATTGGGTTCCTCTCTGAGTCTAGAATGTTGCCAAAGGGTTGGAAAGACAAGACACACAGCTTTTGCTGAGAAAATCCCAGGAAACCTTTAGGGGTGAATGCAGCCAGGTAAGTGGGGAGCTGTATTCCCTTTCGGAGGCTCAGAGAGAAGGACCCCTTGACATTTCAGTCCTGCCCCTTGTGTCACCTGTGTCCCCCAGTCTTCTGGTGACTGAACCCTGAACCCTGACCCCTGCACCAGGGTCAGGCCATGGGGGGGGTGTGCATCTACTGTAGGGGTGACCACCTGGTGGTCCTTGTTAATCCTGTGACTTGCTAAATCTGGCTCATTTGGGCTCAAAAGGAGACAATGATATTGGGAACCCCTGAGTCACTTCCCCAGTTGTTTCAGGGTTCAGAGAACTGGTGGAAGCACTTGTTGCTGCTGAATCTTGCTTGTTTCTGAAATCTGTGTTTTGGATAATGATCCAAGTTCAAGCGTTTCTTCTCGCAAACAATGCCAGTCTCCAGGCCCCGTTGGCCAGTCCTCTGAATGGCCTGAAAGCTTCTCTGGGTCCTCCCCTCTTGCTGGCAGTTCTCCTGAGTCAACGGGAAGGGGTTGGGCAGTCTGGCCCCAGAGGGCGAAGTGAGGGGGGGCCCGCCTGTAATTAGTGGGAGCAGATTGTAGATCTGAGGAAAGTTCCAGTTGAGCCAGTTGCTGCTCCCCTGCCCCACCCCCAGCTATTGTGGCCTGCCCCCGGCTGAGCTGAGGCCTCCAGTTCCCAACTAGCAGGGGTGGGGAAACATCCTTCCCTCCAACTGCTGGCCACTTGCCAGCTGGCTGGAGTGGCAAATGGGCCTAAAGTGGGTTCTGCTGCCCTAAGTTCAGGCTCCAGGATGTTTAGGGTGCCCCTGGGGCCTTCTGCCAGCATTGTTCCCCATGGCACAATCCTCTGGGGTGCTCGGCACCTTCTGTAAGGTGGCCCCCTTGGGGATACCCCACCAGGAACCCCCCTGAGTTGCCTTGCCTGGCTGCTCCCATTTGCTCTCTGGCTGTTCTCTGGGCTCTAAAGCTTGGTTCTGAGGCATTTTACTGGGCTGGAGCCCTGATACTCAGAACCATGAGTGCTTGTGCCTCTCTATGGGTTCAGCTCTGACTGGCCTGGCCTGGCTCTGCTATGGTGCAGGAGTTAGTGTTGTTCCTCTCCTCAGCACCCCACTAGGCCAGGCTACTTAGATACTGGCCCCGTCTTGCCTGAGACCTGAGCAGTAAATGCTGGCCACCCCACAGGGCAAGGATGGGGAACCTGAACTCACTCCCTAGTCTCCTTCCCACCAGGCCAACCCTACAACACAGCCTGTCTCAAGTGGATTCTGGAAATGTTAGAACAAGCAAGATGGCCCCAAAAGCCCCTGACCCTTTCTTTTGCAGCTGAGAACACTGAGGCCCAGAGAGGGGAAGTGACTTGCCTAAGACCACACAGCTTAAGGTAAGACTGGAATCCACATCTCCTGGCTGGTCCTGCTGGGGACCTACATGGAGGAGTTTCAGGGCCTGTCAATGAGATTAGTTCATGAAATTTCCAGTATAGCCCAGCTGCACTTTGGCACTTAGACACACTCAAAACAAGGGATTAATTCTCATGCTTTGTGTGCATCAGAACACCCTAGGAGTTTGCTAGAAGTAGGAGTTTCTGGACCCCTCCTTGGGGATTCTGTCTCACTCAGTGGTGGGCGGCCTTGGGCACTTGCCTTGTAGCCAGACTTGTGGGTAATTCAACACAGGCAGAGGCCACTTCTTATCCTTTCAAAAGCTCAGCCCCAAATGTCAACCAGGGGCTGGCCCAGCAGCTCCTGAAATAGAAGGAACTTTTACTTTGCTGGAGGGGAGTTGCGGGGAGGGTGAGGGGGGTGGAGAGGGCCAGAGAACTCTAGAGGGCCGGAAACTCCAGAGTGGAAAATGTGGGGTGTGGAAAGGAGAGCAGATGGAGACTGTGGAGCTGGAGTTGGGGAGACGGAGCGGCCACCAGACTGGATTTGGGGCCCAGGTCAGGATTCCTTGGTAGGATTGTCCTAACTGTACTCAGTTGGTTTTCCAGTGGCCTCTTCATCCTCATCTATGGCTGAAAGCACTGTGGTTTCTAAGGAGAGGCCTGGAGCTCTGATGACAGCCCAGGATCCTCAGCAGTCTGGGAGTGACTGGCGTCACAGGAAAAGGCATCCCCAAGGGCCATGTCACCACCAGCCAGGAGCCCTGGGGTCCAAACACGCCTTACCTCCTGCCCTCCTTGAGCCACCACTAATGCCAGCATTAGTTCTGTGGATTCTTGAGTGGGTCTACACACTACCTTCTGTGCATCTTTGTGGGGTGTTGTCTCTTGACCTCTTTGTAGCACTGAGAAACAGGTAGTGTTGTTCTCCCATTGTGTAGATGGGACTTGTTTGCCTAGGGTCAGACCATCAGTAAACAGCACAGTTGGGATTTAAGCCAGGATTCTGGTAACTCAAACCACGCGCTTACCCACGTTCTCCACTGCCTGTCTTGGGGGCTCTTGTTCCTGCTTGTTTAGGTAAAGCCTCTGGGGCCTGGAGCATGGTGGGCCTGGGGAGGTAGGAGCCCCGGATTTAGCTATACTTCATCTAGGTGCTTGTAACTGACCTCCTGAAACAGATCCCCGCAACATTTCCCCTTCTTAGAAAGCCGCTAATGAAGTGCCTCCATCTCCTGTAGCCACACGCTGCATTTCAGGGAAACAGGCAGGAAGGAACCAGGGCTAAAGAAACATCCTCACTCAGGAGAATTTGCCAGGTGAATGGATTTGGGAAGTAAGAGAAGGAGGATCTGGGAAGGGGAGTTCAATTCCTTTTGATTCTGGGAGGGGAGGATAGCACCCTGTTCTCTGCTTTGGGGGAACTTAGCAACTAGAAGGGGAGAACAGAAGGGGATTTCCCATGGCCCCAGCATGCCATCCAGACTTTTCACTTTTAACCCCTCATTCTTGAATGAAACTTCATTGTTTATTTACTTGCAACCTCTTTCCAATAAGTACTTAAGGTGATACACAGCACAACACTGGCCATACCTGTCCAGATTCAGCCCACAGAAAAATTTTAAATGAGGAGTAAGGAAAGCTGGAGGCAGCAAGTATGCAAGCTATAAAGGCTGATGGAGTGGTGGTGAACAAATGTAAATGTGACCGGGAGCCTCCTGGGAGCCAAGGCAAAAAGAGGAAGCATGTGCCATGACATGTCTCTCCTTGTTATAATAGCACATCAAGGTTTACCTGGGGAAACTGTTTGACCTGACGTTATATTCTAGAACTTTTCTGTGGAACTGTGCCTGAGTAGAGGCACAGAGATCCTTGGAAAAATCTTTAGGTGGCTGGTAACCCAGAAGTTGGAGAAAGGCACAGTGGCAGCCCCTCTAGAGGGGACATTCAGATGATTCCTGGTCTGTGTGAAGTGATTCTGAGTCTGAGTGAGTCCTGCCAGTGCTCAGGCCTGCTAGGAGAAAGGGAGTGAACTGGCTAGTTTCTGGGCTAGTTTGCTCTTTTGTTTTTTTTCTCCCAAAACTTCTCCTATTACTTAGCTAAGCTGAAGGCCTGCAGCCAAGCCGGGAACTGCCTGACCTGATGTGATAAGGACCTCCCCTGGAGAGGGCCGTGCAAGGTACCACGATTGGCCCATGAGCTCTCTCACCCTTACTGTCTGCAAGGCCAGGAGGGAGAGAACTTTCTGGATCGTGGCAGGCATCGGGATTCCTCAAAGCCCCTGGGCAGATCCCGATGAACTAGCTTACCCTTAGGCTCCATCTTCCCACCTGCATGTTTGATGTGTGTCCTGTGCTCACCGGGCTGGTTGGAGCTGAAGAGACACGAGCAGGGACTCGCTGTCAGCCACACGGGGTGGTCCCTTTCCTGCTGGAACTCCCCTGGCCCCATTGCTACGCATCACAGTCCTGGCCAGGGAGACCTCCACCCTCGCCAGAGCAGTCCACCAGCTGAAGTCTCTCAGGCGCACACACAGGGATGTCTCTGAGGCTCGCTCAGGGAACGGCCTGCTCTCTAGGGTCCCGCTCCCTGGGTCACGGCCTGGCCTCAGCAGAGCTGCCCCCCCCCCCCCCC